CCCTTCCTCACTGTGCCCCCTCCCATCAGTGGCTCGGGTGTGGTCAGAGCCCTGGGGAAAGCACTTGGGGAAGGTGGCGGTGGTAGCAGCAACAGACCCAGCCATTTATCGACCCCGCCACCCTGGGGGCACAAAAGGCAAAGATGCAAGAAGTGCAGCATCACTCAGTCATGTTCATTTCTCTGGCCAGGAAGAGGCTGCTCCGTCACAAAAAGGACGGGTGTCTCCAACTGAGATTTAGGGGCACATCCAGATTAGACTTAAAATGGCTCCCAAGTGGATTAATCTGCACCCTGCTCCAGAAGGCACGTGGGAACCAGGGTTTTGTTAGAATCCCTTCTGAGAAAACCTGGCATGACAGGTCACAGGTTTCCTTGGGCGGAAGCTGTGAAAAACAGCACTTTGAAACCATTTTAGATTTGTAGGGTGTATATCCCTTAGGCTGTTGATTCAGATAACCATCCTGAGTGACCTCAGCCAAACCAAAGGGGGGAGGAAGGATTGTGTTTACGTAGCAATTTTCCCTTCTGCTGAAATGAATCTTCCTGTGTATGGGGGGGATGATATGTCTTTACATCTGACTTGGGCGTGTTTGTGTGCGCGCCTGTGTGCCTTTACCAGAATAGATCCTTGTTCACTCCATCACATGGTGCATCTCTCTGTCATAGACAGGATGATCACATCTTCCCTAGCAATTGTCTATAGTAGTTTTTCCAACATAGATAAAGCTGTATCAACCCTGCAAGAACCTCTGGGGACAACACAGCAATGGGGAACTCAGTTTCACTTGGACATGTGAGATGTACAGGTTAAGGATTTCTGAGGTCAGCCATGCTGGTCTACGTTGTTGTTGTCCAGTTGCAGTTGTGTCCGACTCTTCTCGACCCCTTCACGCCAGGCCCTCCTGTCTTCTGTCGTCCTCTGGAGTGTGCTCAACTTCATGTTCGCTGCATCTATGACACTGTCTAACCATCTCATCCTTTGCCGTCCCCGTCTTCTTTGACCTTCAGTCTTTCCCAGCATCAGGGTCTTCTCCAGTGAGCGCTTCCTTCTCATTGGGTGGCCAAAGTCTTTGAGCTTCAGCATCTGGCCTTCCAGGGAACAGTCAGGGTCAATTTCTTTTAGGATTGATTGGTCTGCAGCAGCAGACCTCAATTCAAGCCCAGCAGCACCTCAGGGACCAGCAGGATCTTCAGGGTAGAAGCTTTCAAGAGTTAAGCTTCCTTCATCAGATACCACGAAGGAAGCTTTGACTCTGGAAAGCTTCTACCCTGAAAATCTTGTCGGTCTTCAAGGTTCTACTGGACTCGAACCTAGATAAGAGGGCTGGATCAGCACAGGAAGTGGCACCTTTTCACCCCTGGAAAGATGATGCTGGGGATCATGGTACCCACAGGACCAACCAAAAAGGGAGCGCAAGAAAGGAAGCAGACAACATTGTCCCTCCTCTGCTAATAGAACAGTAGGCGAATGGAGCAGAAGTTCAACATCTCTTGCTGCATAAGTTGCACAAAATAAGGGATACCGTTCACATGAACGCACGAAGCAGCTTTATACGGCGAGATCATTGCTGTTAGGATCAGTATTGTCTTCTCTGACTGGTAGCAGCTCCCTGGCATCTCATGTGCACAAAGCATCTTTCAAAGGTGCTTCTACGTGTGCCTCTTAGGTGGAAATCCTGGGGATTGAGCCTGGGACCTTCTGCATGCCAAGCAGGTGCTCTGATACAGCCCCGCCCCAAAGGATGTATTCCTCAAGCCAAAGGATGGGAGAGCAAATCCAGCACTAACTTGATCTCGCTGGAGATAAATTGGTTATTTCTTTGCACGACTTCTGTGGGACTGACCATGTGGGGCTTTGGGGAAAACATCTACAAGGCTGCTGTCGTTTTCCTTGACACCCACCAGACCACGCCTCAAATACCCTCTTCCCCAGGATCATTCCAGAGTGAGCTGATTGGTCTGAGAGCGATGATGCACCAAATTATGATTCTAGTGGTTATTTTTATAATGTGAAATGCAGAAGCTCCGGTTTGTTGAGATCCTTTTCAATGGCCGTAATGCTTTGGCGTTGTCTCTCCTCAGTAACTTGCTAAAATCTGAGCACGTGCAATTTCTAGAACCTGTGTGTTTTTGATCGGTGGTGGCCAGGAATAGTACAGACCAACCACTGTCTTGCTATCTACCCCTGAACCCTTGGGATGGAATGGGGGGGGGGTCACATTCAGTCAATAAGAAATTCTTAAGATGGCGTGAACGATCAAGGAGAAGAGGGAAATCCAAGAGAGCTTCAACAGGATTTAAATGTGCTTGAAATAAATCCAAGAGAAATGTTTTGCCACCAAAATGCAATTTATTTATTTTTTAGATCTGACCAGCTGAGCAAGGCATTTATTTGCAGTAAGTATTTCAGTTTGGAATCTTTCACTTTTTAAAAAACTTGGTCATAAAGTAACAGATTTCACTCCCCCCCTCCCCCGCCCAGTATTTGATGATGGGGGTTGGAAGAGGCACAGGAACGGGATTGAAGGAATGAAAAATAAAATACCTTGTGAAAAGTTGAGCATTCTATCCTTGGTCCATAAGGATACATGAATCTTGAATAATGTACAGACAGACAGACACACACACACAGGGACAAGTGGTTTGGTTTTTCTGTAAGGAGCTGATGGAACGTCAAAAGCTGAAGACCATTCAAATCTTTGTGGGAATCCTTTGTTATGAGGAACAGGAGAGGAAAGAATGGGATTTTGTCCTCGTGTATTTACTGCTAGCAATAAAACTAAAGCCATAATTTTGGAAGGGTTTAATCACTGTGCCTTTATGGCCATGTGCTGATAACCGCATTCCGTTAAACACCGTTTCATGTGACGATGTCCGAGACAGGTCACTAGATACTTCTAGAAAGAAAAAAGAGGTGGTGGTGGGGGGTGTCTTCCAGAAGGTTTCAATAAACGTACACCTGCTACACGAGTGAAACTGGGGTACGCTTAACAGAAACCCAAGAATATCATTTGAGAGACTGGAAAAATACAGGCCACTGGGGCAAAAAAAGCCCCCAAACCTACTGACCCGTGTTAGAAGTACTGGTCACAGCCAATGCTCCCTCTAAGCGGTGGAGCCTCGTGAGCAAAAATTCTACTTTGTGAGCTGCTGGCATTAAAGCTGTGAGTGAGCCATTTGGCTACTGCATAAATTAGTTTGCTCTGGAGCCCTCCTTCCTGAGCTAAGACAAAAATATGTGAGCCAGAGACTAAAAAACTGAGATAGCTCACACTAACTCAGCTTAGAGGAAACACTGGTCACAGCAGCAAGTGTCAGTCCCCCAAGTCTGTCTGCTAAAAAATGTGAATGTGTGTGAGTGCATGTGCGGTGTGTGTGTGTGTGTGGGGGGGTTGCAGTGAGCAGCCGCAGCAGCAGACGGGAGTGGGTGTGCTTCACCCCCTTCTCCACTGGCAGCTCTCCTCCCACCCACCTCTTCCTCACCTGCCATTCTTTGTGGTTTGGAAGCCTGACGGTGCTGTTACTACTGCAACACCTGGGCTACTAGGGAGCGCAGTCTCTTAAGAACTGGCCACTGTAATTAGGCTGGTTTTCTTCCTATTCAGGGGACAGACAATGCCCTGGGGGCAGTCCGCCCAAAGACTCCCCCCCCCCAAACAATCCGGCCATCGTGAGCGACAGTGGAGGGCTTCACGTCACCCCAAAGACCAGCAAGGTCCACCGGCCTTCTGGGGGAGGGGAACGTCTCGTAGGACTTGGAGTAGGTAAGGGGCCATGCATTGTCCCCATTTTTGAGTTTGCAGCCTAATCACAGGCAATGCTCTCTCTAAGCTGTGGTCTTGTGAACAAAAATTCTACTTTGTGGGCTACTGACATTAAAACTGTGAGCAAGCGATTTAGTTACTGCATAAATTAGTTTACTCTGGAGCCATCCTTTCTGAGCGAAGACAAAAATGTGTGAGCCGGAGGCTAAAAAACTGTGAGCTAGCTCACACTCACTCCACTTAGAGGGAACACTGATCACAGTTCTTTGGATCCTGCCCTTTAAGGAGAAGGACAGGAGTTTCTTTTGCCTTGGAGGGGGGGGGGGATCTTGGTGAAATCCCAGGGCCCCCACCGAGCAAGTTTGGCCCTCTGGTGGAAACCTCTCAGCAGAACCGGTCTTGTGCATGTTACCCAAACCACGTTCCAAGGGCACCAGCGACTCTCCTGGAGGAGAAAGGCGAGGTGGGCGGAGGGAGGAGCTCCCTTTCAGGCCTTTCCACCCTAAGCAAGCAGTGGCGGGAGCTCAGCAACAAGCACTCAGAAACGGATGAACACAACAGTCATGATGAAAGATACCAAAATGTCAGACAGCCTACCGACTGTTGTTGCCATGAGATCCAACAGTCAACATCAGTCTGATAAGCTATCCGACAGAAAGGTACAGGCCATGGCGACGTCACGACGGTAGGTTGGCAAGCAACACGAGCGGGACACACGGGGGTGGGGTGCACAAATTCACTCAACAGACCAGTCAACACAGAACGTACAAGAAAACCAGTGGGTGTTCCAATGTGCCAGTCCCTAATCAAAGAAAGGCGACTGATTGGCTGCTCTTTTCTGTTCACCGGAAGATTCGGTATGCTGGACACTTAAAATAGTTCAGAGATGGAGTGATGCCCTAGGCCTTTGTCCCAAAAAGAGCCATCAGAGAACACTGTCCGATGAACCCAGTCTTAAGGTGGTGTTTACTCTGCAACCTACCAGTGATACCTTATAGGAAATAAATCTTTCTAGTACAACTTGATAAGCAACATATTCTTGGGGTGGGGGGATCCTCTAGTTTTGTCCCAGAGAACCTCTTAGGAACTATTAAGGACAACCACTGATGTAGAGGTTGCTCTCACTTGTTCTGTATCAAAAGAATGATTTGGAACAGGGGACAGTATATGAATTATGGACACTGAAAAGTGTATCACCATTGAAGAGGCAAGTTTGCATTACAATGGGGGGGGGGCGAGCAGTCAATGCACTCCCCAAAACAGTGCTGAAGGACATACTACTACTTGGAGGTGCATTCCAGCGGCATTCTGGGAAACTATCAGAACTGTCTCCTTATAGAAAAGGAGCAGTTGGAAAGGAACGGACAAATTGTAAAAAACACACACACGCACACAACCTAGAAATATGCTGCTTTATATCAAGGTAAAAAAAAAGGCATCTTAAAGATATATTTCAATGCTGTTTATTCCTTTTACCTTTCCTGCACCAGACAAAAGCATCTTCTTGGCATCTCCTAACGATGCTGTGCAAACATCGTAAGAATTAACCCGTTAAAAACAGACACACACGCACACACACATAGACACGCTACTGGTTTTCAGTTAAATAAAATTAACTGAGCCGTTTCAAGGTCCGTGCTTTCTGCCTCCTTCGGCTAAGCAGGACGTTTTTGGGGAAAATTCAAGAACGCCTGAAGGGTTACCGAAAGCACTCGCTCACAGTGGGGAATAAGAGTTTGCAAAGAAACCACCGGCAAGACTAGAACACAAGAAGAGACAGGAGACTGGGGGTGGGTGGGGGGTGCTTTGAAAGACCAAGACAAAAAGGTCTGGAATGATCCAAGTTGATTTTATAAATTTTATCGTCTTAACTTCATTCTAAATATACAGGATTTTTTAAAAAGACAGCAGTTTGACACCCCCCTGTCTCTCTGCTCACAACCCTTATGAAGTTTAAAAATGTCCCATTGTCCCGTCCCCCCGCTTCCCCCACCCCCCAGAAAATGAACACAAATGAGATGGTCAGAAACCGAGATCAGATTTTAAAGTGTTACTACGGAGGGACATGCGCACCGGGGAGCCCATCTAAGACTATTTTGATGTAAGATTTCGCTGGACTGGGACGTCCAGGAGAAAGGATGGAAATGCCGACCTTCAAGGTTAAGCTTTGCGGCATGTCAGTTGTTAAGGAAAAGTCCCACACTGTTAAAAAATCAGTGATTTTGGAAGTCCCTGGAGTAAACAGCAACTATATTAAAAAGAAGAGCTTAAGCATCCCCTTGTTCATGTTTCAACCTGGACGAAATTCAAAGGAAAGCGCGTACGTTACCTTGAGCAGGCGAATGTCAGTCAAGGTGGATGGTTTAATAACGGCAGAATTATTTTTTAAAAGAATTGCCTGCGAGAAGAGCTGGGATGATTGCCGAGTGCCCCCTCCCACCCCCTTTTCTCAAAGAATGCCCGTTGTTCTTGGTTGTTTGGGTTTGTTTTTAAAGGGTGAAGTGGAGCCGGACGTCCAATTAAGTCAGGGGCTCACCCCTCCCCTCCCTTTGCCTCCGCGGCTCATTTGGTTTTCTCCTCAGAGGGCATGAACTGCTGGAGTCGCTTGGCGTAACTTTGAGCCATGGAGTTAATGATCGACAGGATGAAATAGCACACCATCACAATGACCAGTTTCTCAAACGTCCACGAGAGCCAGTTTTCGCCCTGCAGAGACACAAAGCCCCAAGTCGGGGACCAGGGAGGAAAGGAATGAGAGGGGGAAACACGCAGGTTAGTTTAGAAGCAGTCAGAAGTTCTCTACAGCGTTGAAACAGTCCCACCTCCCTGTATTTTGGTGGTTCTCTCCATCTAGTGTCAGGGAAACTTCCCTGCTCAAGATTTTCTGCCTGCCTTCAATGTTGTCAAAAGGGGGGGGCTGTCTGGGAAACATCCGAGGCCGGCCCGGGGCTTCTCCTGGCCCCACGTGAGAATTCAGAATGCCCCTGCGCAGGAGGGAGGCTTGGGGGCGCAGCTAATGATGCTGGCGGGGGCTTCTTTGGTGCAATCCATCCGGTTGAACCAACGACTCTTGCTCTTCCCCCTCCTAGGGAACGTGGCCTGGCAAGAGGTTTCAAATTGTTAACCGTGTGCAAAGGGTTAAGAGTGAGTCGGTATTCCGCTTCCCTCCAGCCCCCTGGCAGGGATTCAAGGAGTTCAAGCTCAGGACCCGGCCAGGGGAGAGCTACCCAACCACCACCTGGAACACAATGCAACTATTGGCTGGCAACTGGGTTTCACCAAAGGCCAATCCCCCCTCGGGAATTTTTTCCTCTCTCTGTTTGTTTGCTGCATGTTCCGGTCGGTGTTCCTTGTGCAACCAGCAACTGACGCAGCAGAAAAGCCACTTCTAACAGCTCTCGCCGTGGAGGGCTATTTCCCCTTTGGTCAAGAGAGGGCAGCGGAGAGCAGCAAATTCATTCACACTTTCACCCAGTTCCCTCTGCAATCCGGTTTCCTTTCCTTGTCCGTCCGGCCCTCCCCCCCCCCAAACTTTCTAGGATGAATTAAGGTGGGACAGGTTGGGGTAGGGGCGGCGGGGTGGGGGGGGGGGGGGGACGGGACGTAAAGACAGCACTTGGGACCAGCAGACCAGCCCAAAATGCATTTGAGTAGAGCACTCTTAACATGCTCAGTTTATGGGTAACAAAACCTTTAAAGGCTTGAACAGATCTACGGAAATTATTCAGGTAACCCAAATGAAGGGTTCTGGATTTGAATCTTAGTCCACCGTACCTCTAATATTTTTTCTCTCAAAAGAGCGGATTTCTTTCCTTGGCCAGTAGGAAATGGTGTAAATTGGAAGGCTTCAAGATCTGCTGGCAACTTCAAGAAACCGCTTGCTTTGTACAGCAAGGAATTACCCCCCCCACACACACACACACGACAGATTAACCAGCGTTGAAACAACGATCTTTTCAATTCCTATTATTACTGAGATGAATTATTTCCTTCCCTGTTCCCTTTGATAGGCTTCAAACTTTCGTTTCACATCCGACTAGCATCCGGTTCCCTTAAATCCGAATTCTAAAACCCATCCTAGAAAGTGGGTTTGAGGGCCCCCCCCCCCCGGAAACTCTCTTACCTGGGGTCCTCCATCCGCCTTGTGGTGGAGCTTCATCCGCTGGGCTTCCAAATATTCTTGGAAGGGCTTCTGCAGAGAGGGACCTACGCTCGGGACGGCGCTGATGCCCGAGGCCGACGCGAAAGTTGGAGAAGGGGGAGGGGGGCAGCGGAGGAGGAACACATGCAAAAAAAAGAAAGAAAGATTTCTTTTACAAAAACTTACCGCCGAAATTTAAACCACCAGCTAAGGACCCAAAGTGCCCCTTGCATTGGAGGCAGGTGGGCGAGCCACGGAGGAGGAGGGGGAGGGAGGGGGAAGCCGCAGCAAAGAAAAAGCGAGCGCGCCCGCGGGGCACGTGTTCCGCGGGCTTCCCTGCCGGCGTGGAAGACCCAGAAGCAGAGCGGGCGAGGAGGGCCCCGAATAAACGCCAGAACTGGCTGGAGCCGACCGGGCGAGGAAGTGACTGGCGCTGGAGTCACTCGGCCCAGTTTAAAAGAGAAACTGCCCGCCTCCCCCCCCGCCCCCGCCCGGGTGACTGGCCCCCCTCGGCTCCGGGAGGGAGGGGCCGGGCTCCGCGCAGGTCCTTATAAGGGCAATTCCTGCGTCATCCGTGTCCGAAAAGGAAGGCCCGCGCCCACTCCGGAGACCCCGCCCACCGGCCGGGCCGGGAGGGAGAGAGAGAGTCAAGCGGTGCTTAAAAAAACGAGGCCAGCCAGGCGGGCGGCCGGGCGATTGACGGGCGAGAGAAAGGAACAAAGGAGGAGCCGAACCTTGCTCCTGAATCACGGCCGGCTTTATGGCCGATGACTGTGCAAAGGAACGGCGGTCCACAAACACACCTGGCCCCGGGACGGGAGGCGGCGGAGGGAACGCCGGAGAAAGATTCCCCCGCTGCGCCCTCTGCCTTCCCGACCAGGAGGGGTGCGCCTGTGCGCAAAGTCGCTCTCCGACCCTTGGAAGGCCAACACTGGGGAAGGGGGCTCCAGGACTGGCCAGGCCCGCCCCCAACAGGCCAAAAACTAGGTACCCCCTTCATGTCCTCACAGCCCAGGAGAGGGGTCACCACAATACCCACGGCATCGCCACTTTAGGCAGGTTTAATCCCAGGAGAGGCATAGAAAAGGGAAGTTGTGTGTGTGCACCCCAGGCTAGTTATCTTAAAACTGGAAACTGGTCGATCCTGACAAGTGCCCTATGGCAAAATTACCACTCCCATCCTTCTCTGCAGGGACATTTCTACTGGTCTGAAACCAAAAGAGCCTTGGGTGCATCTGCTCCTTTCAGGTTATGTTGCCAGGCCCCTAGTTTGGAGAGAGATTTGGGTTCAAATGAAGACAGCCCTGCAGCTGACCTTGATCTGCTCCCTATCTCTCAGCCTAGCCCACCTCACAGGATTGTTGTGATGGTAAAATTATGGTGGTGGTGGTGAGACAGCCCTGGTCCCTGCTCCTTGGAAAGCAGCAAACTAAGACATGTAATCAATGGATGCAAAGAGAAATTCTGAGCTTAAAGCTCTTCAGATTAGAAATAAAAAGCCAAAAAAGAAAACGAAGGATTCAAATGAAGGGAACACACCCACACTTCTTTTTCTTCAAGACAGAGGGGTCCCCAACTGCCACAGATGATGGTTCCCCAACTATGTTCCAAAACTGGATTCTGGCCGCTTCTCACACACACCACTAACATTTTAATCACTGTTCTTATAAATAGCCACGATTTTAAAAACTGAAAGCAGCATTACTCTTAAAGGACATTTTAAGAACTGGGAGTGATCTCTATTAGTTCAACTTTTACTCGTCCCATCCCACTACAAGAAGAATGGGATCTTATGAATTCTATGTTGTTTCCTGCTGCCACCATTTACCCTTAAAAGTACACTTTTGGTAGCCTGGCACAGGATAGACAGACATTAAGACCAAGAGATACAAAAATCAAATATAAAAATGTTTAAAAATTAGGTGTTGAAAAGGATGATTATGAACATTCTACTGCACATCTGCTAATGCACATCTATCTTATTGTTTCTTTTACTATTCCTCTGATTAAGGGAGATTTCTTTAATAATGCCATTTCTTTAATATTAAACATTACCTTTACTTATGCAAAACTATGACTCAAACGCAAATATATTTTATCTATCGATCCATCCAGGATTTTATCCCTTTCTCTACAACTTTCACATTTTCGTTTTGGGGGGGGGAAATCTCCTCTGAAGATGGGTACACAATTTTTAATATGTTCATGATCAGCCCCTCAAGTTGCTTTTAAACTTAGCATTCTCTAAAATAAATTCTTAGGAAGCTCGTTCTTCAAGGACTGACAAAGAGCCCAGTTCAGGTTAGGTGCCCGCTTCAGAACTGGAAGTTTTGAGGTTGAAAAACATATTTTGCAAGGTAAGGCATGCCAGTCACCATTAAGATAAAGAGTGTTGTCAGCCAGACCAAGACTGATCACCCCACAGAAATTCTTGGGAATGACTCGCCCAAAGAAACGAGTCATCGCTTTCAGAGAAATCGCACTCGGGTTCGGTTTTCAGATGACACAGAAGCCCCGACAAAGGAACAGCTACCAAAAGGTAACCTTTGCTGTAAAAAACTCTAAGTTATGAATGCTTTGACAGTGAAAGTTGGATGACTGGCCAGAATTGCTCAGCTCTTTTAATTGCAGAGGCCAGCGCCATTAATTGCCGAAAAAAGGGTTACAGCTTTCAGGATTGGGAGGCTTTCTCTAGGCCATTCAAAGCTTTTATTCTCTCTTTTACATTCTTTTTTCCCCCGTAACAGAAAATGGTGCCGAAGGACAACCTTGAAAAATCTATTGCACAATATGATTTTTAATACGTTATTTTGCTGCCTTTGAGGGGCTGTTTATAAAATTACAAAACCTTACAGCTTGTTCAGGAAATTGAGATTAGAGAGTTGTTTTTTTAGCACAGGGGGAAAAACTTCATTCAGTAATTTTTTTTTTAAAGAACAAGCTAAAGCTCCTGTTCACACAATGTGGGTTATCTTCAGTGAATTCTTTTCTGAAGTTAGTTCAGATTGTTAGGTAATGGTCTACCATCTGGCTGGCTAGGTATATCCTTATTCCCCGTTTTCTAGCAGTAATCTTCCAGAATGCCACAAAAGCAGCTGAAAGACTGCTTTGTTGTGAATGTTACAGAAGAATGAAAACTCTCTGCTAGACTAGAGTAAATGTTCAGGGTTTTAAAAGATTTTTTAAGAGCTCCATCAATCCAGCAGTTGGGTTCTTTTCCAAGACATATTTCACAAACGATCACCTTGGATAAAGCTGCACGTGTTGTCTTGATGTGGCAGCCATTACGGATGAGATTTCAAGGAATCTCCTTTTGCTGGGCGCAGCCATGACCGAAGCAACACGCGCGCTTTGCATCACCACCCTGCGCCTTTCAGGCTGGTTAAGTGTTGCGTGGGTTGCTGGACAGTACAGCTGTCTAGATATAAAGACACGGAGCATATGGCAAAGCTATCCGAAAACTGTGAGTAGATGGAGGATTGGTGCCCTGCTTTCTACTGGGAGCGATCAGCCACCCACTTCAAAAACCTCCCTGTTTCCGAAAAACCATTTTCTTCCATCTTCAAAGCAAACAATCATTTCAATTCATATTGGCTATTAAGAATCAGAGGGCCTTAATTAGGAGCTGCAAGAAACTACATTTTAAGAAACCACCTTGAGATGTCAAACCTAGAACTGGAAATATTCAAAATCCTTCTGAGGATTTTTTTTCCTCTTCAACCTGTTAAAGTATTTTCAGCAGTCTTATAATTTTTGTTTGTTTGCTGCAATTGGTCAAAACTTCACCTTGCTTTAAGAAAAGTTTGACAGTATGCTATTAAATTGTTGGATATATTTTTATAGCTATTTGATTTTTGTTAAAGATGTTTATCTGCAAAATATCCTCATCACGAATAAATAAATCATTTTTGTATTGTTAATGACACACTACACTGGAGGAAAATGTGTACAACCCAGAAGTCGTATGATCATTTTTACTATCTTTATTTTATTGTCCTGAGGATGTCAAGGACACAGTTCAGCCAACTACATGTTTTTAAGCCCAAGTGATTTCAATGGACTACATTTAAGTATGTGATTACTTCTCTTAGTGAAATTGATAGGACTCAATTAAAAGTACTTAACTTTGAATTACTCATGCCTCAAGCAGTTCAGTTCAGTTCAAAACCTTTATTGGCATAGATCAGAATCATACACAATCGCCACTCAGTTCATGGGTTTAACACACATCTTCCTCATTATAAGGCAGTTACAAAACTTAGCAACCGCTTCAATAACCACTATGTTTTGTGAAGCCAGTAAACGATACAACATTCTGTCATCGGATTGCTTGGCATCATTCTTAAGAATATCTTCTAAATAGGCTGCCCAAATGTCCTCATACAAACTACAATAGAGAAATACATGTTCGATTGTTTCAACCTCCTCTGAACCACAATCACAGAACCTTACAGAGTAAGGCCTGGATGGCACATGAACTGAAGCTTGATAATTCAGTTTCACTCCAAGAAACTCAAAATGTATTGCCACAATCTGGCAGTGTTCAAAACACTCAAGGTTACTGAAATCCACAGCATGCTTTTCTCAACTTAGAGCTGGCTAAGAACTTAATAAAAATTAGAGGTTTTACAAATAAACATATTTGGAACCACTCTGAGTTTATTAATAAAATAAACTGAATCAATACGTGTTAATGCTTGATTTTTTTTACCCTTTCTCACTATATACTTATGGATTACTACAGAACACCAGTAAAGACTTGAGCAGAGAATCCTACGTATTGCAAATGTTGCCCAACTTACCCTTTAAAACCGTGAAATTGTAAAATACAACGGTTAGGAATACATATTTTTCAGAATCTGCCTCATCGGCACAGCAGACTACAGCCTGAACAGAACATATTCAGAAAAACTGCTTTTATGTACTGCAGCTGGGGGGGGGGCATGTATCTTTTAAAAGCTTTGCCATTTTCATCTGTCTCAAAGTTCTGCATTCATAACACATGCACATAACATATTTTAATTTTCATTCTTTGCACACAGTTAAAATAGCCTGACAAACTGCTGGGCGGGACCTTTTTTA